GGTGCCTACACCAAACTGTGCTCCTGTCAGTTTCACTGATGCGTGAGATCGACCGTAACCCGTGGAATGGCCAGATTCTCTCGGGGTCCTCATTTTACATTGTCTCGCTTTTCTTTTCCACCATACTGACTCACTGCAAAGTTTGGAGTCCATAGTCGGCTCATTAAACCTGACTGATAGTCACAAAGAACAGTTTATCGAAACTGAGTGGTAAATATATGGAGAAGCATTAAGCGTGACGGTTTCGGATCCGTGTTGCATGCCAACATACACGTGCATGGGTATAGCTATATATGAATTTACCGCATTCAAATCAATCAAGCTAGGACACAGCGCATAATAGAGAATATTTTAGGAGTAGCAAGAAACTCAAACACCGGATTTTCCCATAGCCTGATTCTGTCCCTGCAGATGACCAAAATGCATTTATATCTTCAGGCTGCTAAAAATACAGTACTGTCTTTGACATGGTCCAGACCGGGGAATGGATTTTCGCCCAGCGGACTGAATCTTATATGTATGCATCCTCGACCGTACGATTATGGAAATCGGATCAAGGTTGATTATATAAGATTCAATTCAAGGTGAAAATCTGTTCAACAAAATGCATCAACCGAATCACAGTATAAACAGTTCTCTATCTTGCCAGAATCCTTGTAAACCGAGAGCACGCTTCTTCAGAATTTCTCATTATCCTTAAAGGTTCAATATTTAACTTGTATTTGTCCTTCTATTGAGGAGATGTGTAATTTTTGACTGAAATACTAACATTCTATCCTCGCAAAAGTCTATACAAATACAAAATACGAATATTTAGTGCACTGAGAGTTGCAGACAGTGCCGAGTTAACCCAATAAAACGTATTGGTTCACAATTTCCGGATCGTGACAAACAGGTGAATCGATCTGTATTTCAAATAGTGGGATATGTTTGGGACTGAACTCCAGGAAAGCAAAACAAACCACCAGTGATGGTAGTTTCTGAGCATTTTGAGTAGAAATGAAACAGTTTCATAAGGTAATCGAGGTTTTAGTCGTAGACAGGTCCCAGGTTATCTGACTCCGTATAAGTTGATATGTGCACATCATGGACGAGAATACCGGTTTCTTTGAAAAAGTTGTATTTACACGATCTAAAATAGAGTTCACAATTCACATTCACAAATAGTCTCGCGTTTCCTGACGCGTAGAAAGCTTGGTTCGTAGAATCATTCACCGTAAGAAAACGTGAATGGGACAGTACTAACACTACTCAATTTTCGTCCAATTAAAGGAGCATAAAAGTCTGATCCTCTGAGCACCCAGTAGGGTTCAAATACTGTTCTGCAGATTCTATTCAATTTGAACTGCAAAGAACAAAAAAATTTCTTCAAGAAAATAGATTACACGAGTCATGCATTCGTGAAAGCACTATGGTATACCCAAACGGTGCAATGTATGACACATAACATAAAGCCCTTTTGTCTCTTGATCCCAATCAAAAGAGATACTGAGTAGGCAAATTCAATGATCCATCAAGTGTGCTTACTTAGCGGGTGAACCATGTGTTCTCTTCGCGTCTAAACTTTGCCCTCTTAGACAAACCAAAGTGAGATTGCCCCCAGATGCGAACTCGTTTGGCTCCTGTGGAGCAAGTTATGCGGGTCAAAAAATGAGACATTTATCTGACCGCATCACCCCAGTTGGTTGAAACAAGGATTCACAAGGATCGGGCGCGACAATAAATACGAGTCGTTTGGCGGAGTCTGATCACAGTCAGTGTGGGTGAGGCTTTCGGTCCCCTCTGTACGAATGATAAAATATCAAAATCAACAAGGTTCAATCTCGAATTTTGTCAATAGTCGAGACGATTCTCATCTGTCCTCATCCGTGCACCACCCAGAAAACATGGTCGTCCACTTTAAGTCGTGTTGTAGCCTCCGTTCATAAACTTTCATTCTTTCAAACACTCACTCTCATCATCACCTCTCCTCACACGCACACACACACACACACACACATTCACCATGCATACCAATGATCACAGTTACTTCATCGCATTCTAAACTCTGATTTCCTTCGCAATTATATTTCCTATCACCACGTGTTTAGCGCTTCATTTCGGCAACTGATTTAGCACTAACCTCTGTCCTCATGGTCGAGTCCATATTACTGAAAACTTGCGTCATCGCTACTTCAGTTTGCAGGATGTAGGTTTCCGGTTTCCGAAATCAATCACACAATGGGTTTCATCACTTCAACCATTCTTCATACCAAATTGTATAAAAAAGTAAAACACTACCAATGTATGATAAACCCACTACAAATGGGCTAATCGACTCTCGCGTGTAGATAAATTCTCACCGCAGTTTATCGAATGGTCGATAAATCGATTTGAAAGAGTGGAAAATAAAAGGCTCACCACAGCAATTATAATTCACATGGGATTCATGCTCATTTTTCTATCGAGCCAATTTGTGTCATGTTCTCACAGCGTGCCAGCACGTCAACATACCGAGGCAGTTTCGTCCAACACCTCCCACCTAGGGATCGATTCAACGCTCCTATCGTAACGATTGGAACAGGAGGATCAGAGAAACAGAGAAACACAAGGCTTTGAATGAGGCATCTGTTTTAACAGAGATGCCGATCTCTATGGGATGAGACCATTGTGTTAACTAACAGACAAAACATGTTTTCACTATAAACCCTCGTGTGTGTATGTGTGTGTGTAGGCCAGTGTGTTTACATGAGTAAGTAGGCCTGAGCCGAACTGGTTCGTGCAGAAAGAAGACAGACGCAGCAAATCAAACCAGCGGAAAGGGCGTTGACCCCAAACGGTACAAACAATTTCATCAAATGTGTTTAGAGGGTTTTCCCCTCATCACCAATAACGTCCACAGAGACAGATAGAGAGAGCGAGAGAACGATACAGTGAATGAGAGACAAGAGGTAGAGAGAGGTGTGGTGGAGTGCTGCTGGGAGGATTGGGGCGGGGGTGGAAGTGGTTGAGAGAAATTGAATCAAAAACAGGGTTTCAAGTACTCCAGATGGAGTTATTTATCGATGCTAATCTAAATAAGGTTTACAATTGAAAGCATGCCAGCATACGCACTGTATGTGCATACATGTATTCTCGAAGGGAATTCACTATTTTTTCCACAAGACCATATGCTTAGCAGAGATAAATTGTGGTTCGTATCAGGGAAAAACTAGGCAAACAGATTTCATAATTTACAAGGACCAAACGATTTAATTATGGGGAGAAATTTTAGATTAGTTTCTTTCGGATAGATCTGACAAGGTATTCTCTGAGTGCTGAATATCATAAGTCTCTTTAACTTCATTACATATAAGCTACTGAGTTTTGCTGTCTATTGCAGTTTGGAGTAGATTGCTAAAATTGACTCCCCCGGATCAATATGCCCAGCTTTGAAATAAATGATCCATCAAGGTTGTGAGAAGGGATTTTCTTTCCATTATTCCGCGAGTATATTAGGAGTAGGATACTGAAGAAAACGCAGTTCTTAGCTTATGTTCAATTGATTCTTGTTATTTGTAATATTACCGAAGTTAGGGAAGAAAATCGACACAGGGTAACACATGGACGAGATTTTACGAATATGTTTTCATATTCACAAAACTAATCAAAATTGAATCACAGTATGGATTAATTTGTCGACAGGTTACTGTCATCTGGTTTGAAGTACTTTTTTCTGCCATAATCGGGGCACCTTAAATACGTTTTAAGCATTCCAAAACACCATCTTGTATTTATTGATATATTTCAGATAGCGTTGTAGTTAGGCTTGAAAACGCACAGTTCGCAATAAATAAGCACCCACAGAATTGCACGCATAAATGTGGACTCTAACGTCCTCGTGTGCGCGTGGTGCGATGATAAAAGCAGTTGCGTTTGTAAATTAAATAAAATTAACTCAGATAAACTAACAATTGCATTTCAGACCCCTCATATGTATCTATGTGCATATGATCACCATGCACATGAGTATAAAAAAGCGCCGTTTTTATTGCATGTATTGTTGTGATAAAAACGCTAACTAGTAGAAGGGGAACCCTCGCAGAGGAATTTAAACTGAATGAATGATTTACATTTTTCCACAAATGCTGTTGTGAAAAATTGCAAATTTTTTAGATTGACATTACAGCTGATTTTATCTGTGATTTAGTAGACGCGAGCCCAAAACTGAATCGACAGTTTCACATCACTTTAAAAACGACTGCACTGCACAGAATCAGTTCAGGTTTCTGTTGGAAAAGTGTTTCGGTATTCACAAAAATCTAGTGAAGGGGGTTCGGTAGCTTCCTCCTCAAAAAGGGGAGGAGATTAATTCAAAGTCGAATACTGAAGAGAATCACGTGAATTCAAAGTCGCCGATTGATATTATGACGAACTTCCTATCCGAAATAGGGACAAAAAGACATCGTGAAAGTTAGTTTGAAAGGTAATGTAATTATAGTTTACCGATGTCAGAAAAACTGCATTCCTTTTTGTAGACGCCAAGGTCATAGCTTATTTTCTGTGAATTCATTCACTGATGAACTACTACTACCACTACTTTCACCTCCAATCCAGTTCAATATTTGCCGTGCTTTCAAAGGAGAATACCAACCTAAGGGACTACGTGTTAGCTTTCTTTGGCTGATCTTTAAGTTCATTACAGATTCATACTTCATCAGATCTTTCAACTTCAAATCTGTCTCCATGCTGAAATCTGTTATCGACGGGAAATTGAAGAAGTCGGTACCATTAGCAAAGGCTACCTGTTTCTTCCACTAGAATGCAGACATGAAATAATTAATGATGTTCAACATAAATCTCCTTCTTGTGTGTATCTGTCCTACCACCGTTCTTCGATTCCCCTCCCCCGTCCCGCCTGTATCCCAACCAAAATACATATCAGGTCCGCCTTCAAACAATACCACACGTCTTGATCAGTCATTTGGTCGACCCAAATCCGGCCCACTTTCACGTTTGGATCCGAACGGACCAGAGAGTGGCTCTTGCACAATGAACTCAACTGGAGGAGCAAAACCGAACGAAATCTCCATTCTACCACATTTACACCCCATCATTCTGCATGATGCTCATACCGGTTCGGATGAGCTGGAACACTTGGAATACGGTTCTCCCGTGTACGGAAAAGCCGGAATCTATCCGGGGGAACCGATAACGTTGATCTCGTCTAACGATGTAAGTTGAGTGTGAGCGAAACCTTGCCGAATAATTTTCTCACAGTATTTTAATCATTACATAAGCTGGTATACACATTTTACAACAGTCGATTTTCCGGAAATGCAAAGTGGTCGTAACATTTGTGCTGCTATTCCATTGATATTGATAAAGAGAATGAGTCTAATAGCTATCTACAGAAAATTATACTTATTGATCTTGGGTCCTTAGAATCACGCATTCGATCAGTAAAGAAAAAACAAAGGTCACCTGGCGATTAAATTCCACTGTGAAACATCAAATTGTACCTAATGGGATGATGGTCCTCTTTCAGGTAGCATGAAAAAATTGCACAGTTATGGGCCATCAAATATCACAGTGGGTATAAGAGTTCAAAGGGGGGGTGGGGTGAAGCCTTGTGTTTCACAACACGGGGTGATAAAACCTAGGTAATCAGGTTGTAATCTATCATGTGCACGGCTGAGCTATGCACTGTCGCGTTGGTTGGATGACACAAGCTCACCTCATTTGTTGTTTGGAAACAGACAGCTACCGACGTTGTCCACAATCATCAGCAAGTGAGTATGCCATAATTTGGACAGTTGAGAAAGGTAATTCAGGTCGGATCAGTCCACTGAGCGAAAATCCACTAGAAATAAAATTCACTGGTTTTGATTGTCCGCGATGCTCTCCATCGTTAATGGCACTACGTTTATGGTATCTTTATGAAAGAGGAATTCATAAAGTATACGTTCTAGAAACGGAAATCATTATATCCTATAAGAATCAGAAAACGGAGTGCAATCCGGTGAAGCACAATGCTTTGGTTTCCTATGTGTACTCTATTTTCTCCGCATCTTCAATTCGATTATTAGCCAAATTATTTATGAGTTTCTTCCCTCTTTCAATTCCCAGCTGGTTTGAAAATTGCTAGTCATTTTCGTCATTACACTGCTTTTGCTATATTCCGAAACTAGCAACCAGTACCGATTCAAGAAGTATTCATATTCTTCGAAAGTATTCTATTGTTTCCTGGCTGTCAGTGGAGTTTCGTTTTTCCAGTAGTGGACCAAACATAACTTGAATGCACTGTCTTTCCCCACGGAGAAACAACACACACCGGATGCCCAAATGTTTGTTTACAACTCCGATTAGATGTCATTCGACAGCTTTGACATCAAACGTGTTTGCCCACGTATTCACGACAGACTTGTGAAAACGACTGCAAATTAGATAGCAAAATACAATCTGTTTCTTCGAGTTGATGAGTCCAGCTTTGTAGTTCAACTGACATTGATCACAGCGTTTAAATATCCGGTGTACAGGTCTGCTGTGGTTCATCTATCTGTGTGCTATTGCTTTTGTTCACCAATCCCGTTTCCCCCGCTAGTCCCCATTCGAGTGCTCGTTAGTCATTAGAATTAGGCATACGCTTGAGATGGATTCGATTGACCTGGTATATGCGTTCTCATGCAGTGACCAGACAATCATCAATAAGCATTTAGTACGTCCAGTGGGGAGCAGTCGCGGAAGCGGTTTTCACTCTGTGTGTGTGTGCGTGTAAATATTTAGATAGATATATATACACACGTTTGTGCTTTAAATGTTTTCCGGGATAGAACTCAACAAGCGGTACTCATTACTCATGAGAATTTATAGCTCCCCTAATCCCCGTCGTGAACTATATAAATTTGGCATCCCGTATCTTGTTTGCCTTCATATTTCAAAGAGCACACAGAGACGCGGTTTGGAGTGGAACATTTCAATTAATTATCTGTTAACCCGACTCTCATCGCGCTGCTGTTGCTGCTGCCAGTGCTTAAACCCTAGTGATATTTCCGGACATCATTGGTCCTGATCATTCTGTGAGTAACCACAACCAGTGACGTACATAGTCCTCGGGAACCTTTCCACCGTAACCAGGTTCATGAGGATGGTTAGAATAGATGCTAAATTTGAGGCAAAGTTGCCGACCGGTCTGTACAAAGCGATTTGGCACAGCATGCAAATAAACAAAGAACCGGTAGGTGGTCAGGGAAAGTATATCATCACTGTTCTAACTCGAACTGCGCACACAAGTACGTAAACATTGTGGAATAACTTTCTCTCGTGCACATTATGGCCAACAAACAAAACCGTGATATGCAGCTGTTCGTCACTCTGTGTCGCAGTTCATGTGTATGTATGTTAATATGTATTTGTTATGGGCGTGTATATAGGCACTGTCGGTTTTGAGCTGCTTTGTCCATTTATTTGTTTATTTCTACTGGCTACTCGGGGAGCTTTGAGATGCAAAAATTTGGGTCCGTTTCTCTTCTTGTACGTGTGTGTTTGTGTAGGCGTGAACTCATACGTGTGTGTGTGGCCTATGTGGGTTTGCCACAAAACTAATTAAGCTCAACATGAAATCTCATTCGGCTTTTATGCTCCCGTGCGCTCATACAGCACCACGTTGCCCACCCACCCATCCCCCACCCCTACCTACACTCACCCTGTCCGTATCAAATGGCATTGATGATAGACGACCCTCCGGTTTGGATTGATCATATAATCGAGGGGTGTAGAGAGAGAGAGAGAAGACAGGCGACCGGGGAGGCATTGAGCGATATCCAAGTAGATGCGTATATTACTTAGAACCTTTAGATATGGATAGATAGCATGAGTAGCACGCGACCCGGTGTCACACTGGATTAGTCACCATTAGTCAATAACCAAAATCGGTTGAGCTGAGTGTACGCAATACGCGGCCGGACGATGGTGCGTCTGGTGCAAAAGAATGATCAGGCTATATACTGAAATTTCACTGCTATGATTATTATACAAAACAACCAAGTATCAATCTATTCTTGCAGGAAGTTCGTTTTTGTCAAACACCCCTGTGTGGTTAATAGTTGCAGGGCTCATCCCCATTGTCAACAGGACTCACTATGTACCACTGAGAACCGGCAATTGAGAAACTGGAAAGGATATTCGACGAAGGTCGGAATAGGATATGCCTGGTGAACAGAACGACAACGGAACTATCTACCACCAAACCTGGATGGGTTTGACAGTGTTCGAACCTAGAAAGTCAGAATCCGAAGCGTATCGTCGAGTGATGACAACAGCTTGAGAAAAGTATTAAAGTATGAATCAAGTTTACAAAGTGTTGAAAATTGCTTCTCGTAGCTCGGGTGAACTGAATTCTATTTCGCCTGTTCGCCGAGCTTGGCAATTTGTTTGCAAGCGTTTCATCACCAGCCGAGGTGATATCATCAATGCTTGTAAAGTGGCCGTCTTCTGCTTGTATCAGTTCGTTTATATATATGTTATTCTCCACCGACCATTTTTGTCTCCTGCTCCCACTGGGTTGAACCTGGTTCGCCGTTAAATTGGTGCGTAGGGGTCAGAATGAAATTTAAGAAAATATGTTTCGCTAGATGGAAGTTTTCTCCAACTCGATTCAACGAATGCCATTCGAGATAACGTATAGCTCCACAGTCACAAAATCGATCAAACGTCATTGAGGAATCGCATTTCATTTGTCTCAACTGAATTGTAATTTGTGTGAATGGCCCGAACGAGCATATTATCAGTGACCTTATCACCGTTTCAGGTATCACATTGTCTGGATACATCTTGGTATGAAGATAGACAAGGCACAGTTATTTATACAGATACACATAAAGCTACTCTGTCACAAAACTGATTAACTTATGAATACCCGTTCATTACACGAAGAGACTCAGGTAGCCCCAAAGGAATAGCCATGTTTCTGAGTTCGGTGACTGAAAGATTGACTCATTCTGGATCCCACGAAGTGATGCAAACCAGTACTCAAAACTCGCGTGAATAAGAACATAGAATTAAACAGCGATTGATTTCCAGTCATCGTACCGCTTTTTCAAGCATAGTTTTGTCAAAGGATCATGTTTCATGACTGACTTTGTTTTCTTTTGACATATATGCTCTCAACACGAAGGTGGTCCATTGTTTGTTCCGCATGCGTGAAGGTTTGCCATCCCCGTAGAAAAGTGTTTCATCAACCACAAAGCACTTGCACAAGCGTGATTAGTGTTTCGTCTATTGCAGTGAGATCGTGCAGATTGTGCAAACACGTGCCGATTGGAATCATTCGTAAATTAGCGCATTTTGAACAGTCACATTTGGGGATGAAAAGAGCTGTTGTTTCAAACAATACAGAACAGGAATTCGTTATCCAACGGCTGTCTACAGCAAAATTCAATAGCTTTGGACAAAACAACCACAGCCCAATTTTGCAAACGCTGTTTGATGTTTTCAGCGATTAAATTCGATTGGCAATGAATTTCTTCCCCTAGCTCTCTGACGATATGAAGGCGGTAATTCCAAATGCTTGTATTACACACATTTCCAAATTTAGGAGGCTGTCCAATTTTTTAGTTCGAGTAAACTACGTGAAAACAACACGATTACGTCACGTTGATTGTGACCGTGTACGGGGAGAGGACAGCCGTAGCCTACGAATTTTCCATTGCATAAAATTACTGCACTCGTTTCAAGTGTTGTGCATGCGCGGCTGAGCACACAGTACGAACACACGTATACTGACATGAAAATTTTGATAATAATACTGCACAATGTCAATTATATTATGGCTGTGTGCAGCATACAGTCCTAATGAAATAAGCATTGAAAAAGTCACCCAAGAACAAGTCTGATTTACGATTTTCTTGAAATGTGCCTCATCAAAGAATTACGTTTACAAGGAATAATTATACGTTTTTTTCATTTTAACGCATGTAGTCTGTCAACAAACAAGTTCTGCCTGCCTCGTTCAGGTCCACGATGACATAGCCATTCAATGTGTAGAGTTCAGGACTGCAGAGGCCAATTCATCCGCTACAAGTATGAGGTAAAGGGAAAAAATGAGCTCTACGAAAATATAATGAAACTAATATTGGTAATCTTTTAGTCAGTTTTACCATACAATTTAGCAAGATGGTTTTAGCCTTTCGAACGCGGTCTTACGGTTTCGTTGTTAGACCGAATAGATCATACTCCCATCTACC